TAGCCTCCAGGGGATAAAATCAGCAATTTATGCAACATATGGAAGCAAAGAAGAAACATGTTTTAATATGCAATACATAGAAGTACTCAACACATTGTAATATCTTCTCCCAGGCAGCCTCTCCTCAGTGGAGTCTCTCTGCAACCCATTTTGTATAGTGCCGTCTTTGGAAGCAAAGATTTTGAATACCATATTTCCTCACATACAACACATCCCAGAATAAGATACCCATCTTGTTTTTGAAAAGCAGGATGAAGGAGTTGGGTGGGGGGAGGAAGGGAGGGAAGGGGTCTTTCCTTATAGTAAGTAATTGACTAGTAGCAGCTAGGCAACCAAGCCCATTTCTTGTTCTGCTGCCTGCAGATTGCATGCAGACTTTACTTCTGCTTTCACCCACTAAGCAGAAGAAACTGCTTACTATATAAGAGCAGTTTCTCACATAAAATGCACACTCCAATTTTCAGAGGCTTTTGGGGAGAAAAGTATGCGTTTATGCAAAAAATATGATAAATGTGGAATTTTCTTTCTTTTCCGATGTGGACACTTTGCTTCCACCCCTCCTTTTGCAGAAGTCCTTATCATTTTAAATTCAAAACGTTGGCTTCCAAAGACAGAAATATACAAAATGTGCTTCTGAGAGGCTCCATGGATGGAAGGCTGTTTCTCTTTGATTTGCTTTTTCTTTTTCTAGGTATTTCTCACTAACAGCTAAACATTCTGCATTTAGAAGTTCCACAAAGGTCATCACTCCAATTTCTCCTGAAAGGACAATAAGTGTCCATTTTCCCAGTTCGGCTATCCTTGCCTGTGGCAGGTCTCAAGTCTCAGTTACTGAGCAACTGCTATATACGTTGCTGAATTATGTGAAGTAACAGGGCTTGGATTATATTCTTGATAAAGAAATTAAGACAGGAAGGTTGAGCCATTTGGATACATTTGTGGAAGCTGCTGGGGTACAGAACTCCAATAATCTGGAACTTGATGTGCCAAGCTTAGGAGTCACTGCTTGAAACTTCTAGATCTGTGATAGTTTTGAGCACTAGGTATATTATTTGACAACATTTTACAGCGAAGAAGGGGCATACATGGCACTCATTCTGCAAAGCGGCAAAGAGTGGTTAAGTATGCAGTCACTGAATTGATGAAGGAAGGTCTCTTGAATATTTTCTGGAGGATGATCCAGAAAACCTTTCAGTAAGAAGGAGGAGAGATAGCAATTGGAAAATGGAATATATGAAGTCAACAGGCATTCTGTTATCGATTTCTGGATTTGGCTTGGAATATCTGGAGAGAGAACTTGCCTGAGGCTTTAGCATCATGATTCTAGCTAACTGAGACACTACCTGAGTGAATAGATCAATATGGTTACCGTGAGCTTCTCTGACCTGTGTGATTCTTCACAGAGGCAGAAACCCAAGATGCTAAATCTGCCTCAGAGCCCGAAATCCAAATCTTCTTCTCCTGCTCCTATATCTGGGCTCCAGTTGCTCCATCAGGCTTTGTGTAGCTTTATCACACAAAAACACCAGGGTGAGTTGAAGAGATTCAGGCCAGTCAGATTCAAGATTCTTCAGAGTCAGCTACAATTTAGCATTTGCCTTCACCTGGTGGAAAAAGGGGATCCCATAATGGCCAGATAATTATGGAAGGAACTGTTCTAAAAATCTAAAGGTTTTACCTCCATTTCTTAAACAATGAGTGTATTCCAGCATCTATATTGGTATCAACATATTGACACAAAACATGTGTGGTTCCAACAGTGGTCATTATAACATGATTTTGTTTATCTGGGTCAGCTGTTTTGTAAATCAAAGGAAATCCTCATTAAAAAAGTGTGAGATGTGTTTAACTTGCTATAACACACTCTTGGCAGAATATACAGCGAAAATACCAAGCTAAATGTTAAAATAAATCTCCTAACCCATTGGCTTAAAAGTATTAGTGCACCCCCTTGTGTTATAAATGATCACTCTAAATCTTTCATGCTTGTCTAGCCTACAGTTCTACTGATTCAAATTGTACCTTTAAGGATGCAAGAAGTCCATCAAACCAACTCTCACTTCTAACCACAGTGAAATTCATAGATGTCATACAAAGGTATATAAAAAGTGTTAAGCGTTTACCATAAGATACAGCTGAAGACAGAAAAGTTTTGTGCTCTCTCCCCTACCAAATTAAAGCCTTGCATAGCTCGCCACAAATCTAATTCATTATAGAAGAAAAAGATGTCTACTTCAGGAAAACATTGTATAAAACAGTTAGCTTTCATCATTTAAAAATAATATTAAATCATGGCATACACATTCTACACAGGGAACTAGTTTGTACCATACGCTTACGGTCACAACTATTTTCTACTGTGCTAGAAAAGCTGAAAAAACGTGCCCGATTCTGGTGGAAAGCAGCTGCATGGATCTTCTTTTTTAAATTACAGCAGATTTAGGGGAATTTGACAAAACCAGAAATGTGTGATGCACAGAATACCTATTTTCAATTAACATAATGCATCATTTTTGTACGTCTATGACTTTTAATAGCACTGGAAGTTAAATAATTCTGTTACAGATCACAGAATTACAAAGATCTCAGAGGTCTCACAGGGCACAATTCCAATGTAATCTAAGATTTTTACATGATTTTATTTTCCTAGAGACCTGAATAATGAGAAAGCTAGACACAACAAGATTTAGTTGACGTATTTTACTGTAGTTACTGTTCTCCTGGAACATGTTCTTTATTAATTGGCAGGAGTGGCAAAATGTTTCATTTAGTAATGGTTCACCGTAAAGGATAATATTTCCCTATTGGTTTAAACAGATGTGTATTTTGTATTGAATGTGCTTAAGTAGAATTGAGATAAAAAACACAATATTATGACTTCACGCAAGGATGTCAATGTCAGCCCACCCCCTGGGCAAGATCCAGACCATAGGCTTTTCACAGGCCACATGCGGATGCAGCAGCAGCAGAGCAACAACTGCTTGCCCCTGCATCACAAAGGCATTTTGACTGCAGGCCCTGCCCTCTTTATCATCCCCAATTTACTGGATTCCTTAGCCGAGTCTACAGGCTGCAGTGGGAGAGCAGAGGGTGGAGTGGGGAAAACAAGTATAGGCACAGGGGTGCGGTCAGGAGGTGGGAAAGCAAACTGCAGGTGCCCGCACAACACGCACACACACCCCAGGTCTCCCCTGAACTCCTCCCGCTCATGTGCACCTTCCCCAACCTAATGAACCATTCCAGCCCAGTGCAGGCAGCAGCTCTAATCAGGCTTCAGCCCTAAGAACCAGGACAAAAGAGCTGAACCCCTACCTGCCCCAGGCCAATACTTGAATCCAAGACAAGGTTTTTTTCGCATGCTGACTAGGGAGAAAACTTCATCTTGGATTCATGTAAATATGGTATTCCCCCTCCATCTGAAACACCTACACCAATCATAGACTTAGTACTACTTTTGATGCATCTATGCAATATTGGGTTTTTTAGATATTATACCCATATTAAAATTACAATCTGTTTTTTTTTAATGTAACCATATTCAGTGCATCAAACTCTGTTGCTCTAACAAAGACAGAATTGAGACACTGTTCCTGCTCTCACTGAAGTAAAGATTTACTTCAGTGGGAGCAGGACTGGGTTCTTAAAATCAACAAGAAATGGAAAAGAAAAAAGTTAAAACTCCTTAAGTAACAAGAATTTATTTCTCTTGAGCACGTTCTAAAACCGAAAAACTTTTTTTGTAAAAAATACATGGAACTTTAATTGAAACCAGTATACTAATCCACCACTTCATCTGTAAAACCTCTTAATGTAAAAGCCTTAAATGTTGATTTCCTTGCTATCCTAAATGTCATCTTCTTTACAAACATTCTAATCAAACACAAAGAACTCATGCATTATGATAGTACAACCACCTTGCAGGTGATCATTATGCAAGATGCACAGTAAAGAATAGTAAGAACTCCAAGAAGCACGGAATGTGTAATGGGCGCATCTACATGTGAAATTAATGCACATGAATAAACTCTGGAGCAACGAGCTCTGGAGTTTGTTCACGCACAGCACGTGGGGCACAGTGAAAGCAGCCCAGGGGCTAGTTGAGACACGAGGGTGCATCAGTGCGGGGGCTGCTCGTGCCTCAGCTAGCCGCTCCACAGCATGTGAAGCCCTGTCGGAGCAGCCAGCTCCAAGTTGAAGCACCCTCATGTCTCAGCCAGCATGAGGGCTGCCTGCCAGCTAGCATCCTCGTGCCCCAGCCAGCCTGGTCACTGTCTACACTTGCGTTTAAGCACAGTAATTTACTGCGCCATCAGACAGTACTTGTGGCTGACAGGACTATCCAATGGCACAGTAAATTAGTCTACTGTGCAGTACAGTGCATGTGTAGATATGCTCACTGATTATATATCATCTTCATAAAGAATGTAGATTCAAAAACCATGTTTCAAAAAGACTTTGATCCATTAAAGTAATCTAGAGTTAATCAGAGTGAGAAAGATGCCAACTTTGCATGTTAATAGCCAAGAGAAACAGACTTAAGCATGGAATATTTGGTATTTGTGATTCAGGTAAGTGAAAAATGCTCTTGGATATTCTAGTTTGCTGACACCTTTATCCTAGAAATGACAGCGTGACTGACCACAAGTTTCTGTAGTAAATTGCTATAATATAATTTTATCTTACTATAAGGTTTCATTAGAGAAAATGTCTCTGCTTACTGTTGACAAATTCATTTTCATTTCTCTGTGTTAAATGCATGCTTATCTACACCAATTGAGCATCTATTTCTGTGGAGCTAACCCTCTTTCCACTAGCAGGATAAACTGTCTGGACATTTCCTAGCACTGTAGGTTGTATTATATTATATATTTTTGAAAATGTAGTTTTTTTTTTTGGGGGGGGGGGGT